AGCATATTTGGTGTGACGGGGATTCGAACTCGCGACCCACAGATTGAGAGTCGAGTGCCCTAACCAACTGGCCATGTAACAATTTTTCAGGAAAATAAATTTATCAACTCTTTAATTTTGAACACGATTAGAAAGTGATTACGAAGTATTCTTTATCTTAGAGAACGAAACTAATCTCATTTTCTCGAAATTCACACTAGATAAAATTACTTTGGCTTTATGTTAGAGAAAGAAACTAATCTCATTTTCTCGAAATTCGGGGAAAAAATCTTCGATCTTTTACATAAGTTATTAATGTTTATTCACACTAGATAAAATTACTTTTGGGATGGACATGTGATTCACTTGTTATTAAGGAAAAAATAGAAACAACTACATCATAATAAATTTTTCAAGTTTTGCTTGTTATCGGTACTTTAAGTTTATGATTTTAGATAGCCTTAAGTCTGACTAGCACTGTAACCTGGTCACATTTTCTCGGTGTCACTTAGCTTATATACTACTGTAACTCACTAGTTATTTATGACTGACACTTATTTTCTTGTTATACGAATGAACTTAAATACTCTTCATAACACACAATTCTACAGTTTAAAAAAAAATTCTTTTCCAAAATTTCGGATAGCGTTATTCATTCTGTCAACAAAACACTGCAGAAGAAGCCAACCTTATGAAACGTAATTGATAATCAATAAATATTTGTATTACATATCAAGGCAATTAAATGTTTACAACTTTAAACAATTTAATAGTAGCATGATATCGTATTTCTTCAACTGTCATTGAAATTGAGGTGCAGGAGTCATTTTTTTATTGTAATTATCGTTACTGAATCCAGTTACTTCCGCAATGCGGTTCTAACCACTAGAAATTAATTTTGTTCTGTTTATCCTTCCTTTCACGTGGGATCATTCCCGTTATTACTTTATTTCTTTGAAGAATCTTTATTGGGTTTTTCATTTCGGTAGGTATTTTCACCATGATACTCCTAAAACCATTCATCATGAACAATCTTCAGCTTCAGATGACTTGATCTAATCTTATGATAAGGTATGTCTCATGCACATTCTTCTTTATCTCTCTATGTGTGTGGCATCCCAGTTTTACTTCAACTTTGGAGATATAGATTCAGAGGAGGAGTTGTGAAACCACACTCAAAGTTGGGCTTTATGAGTCAATGTAATCACCCAAGTTACTGGTGTAATCGATGCAAATTTGGTCGAACTGATCTTCATCCTCAAAATGAAGTAAACAGCATTTTTTAACTCAGATGCTGTAGAGTTGCTCATGTTTTGCAGTACTATAACTCATCAGCAGGAATAACAGATATTGGTTCTAACTCTCCTGTCCCACGATACATAGATAACTGGTTTTAAACCCAATTGGTTATATCAATATATAATTCCATGGCTGTTATACAGGTTGTAATGATTTCCAACGTAATGATTTTCGGCAATTTCAAATTTAAACAGAAAGAAAATCAATTCCATAAAAACGCGTTTAGTAAGTTTCACGCTAATGTTTCAGTTTCTTTATGTACAGCATACATCTCTGCCTGCTTTACGATAAGTTTCACGCCAATGTTTCAGCTTCTTTATGTACAGCATACATATCTGCCTTCTTTACGAAACAATCCATCACTAACATGATATATTCACTTTCATTATTTGAATTTCTTACTAGACCAAATATGAAAAAATCTAATTTCTTAAGTGATTTAATTCCTCATCAAATTTCTTATTTGATATTTTCCTTTCTCACCAAATGTGGTAACTTCGGTAGAACTTTTCATGTACTTTCTCTAGTCGTCTTAGCACCAATTGGCCAGCTTTCAACAGTTTGTGAAGATGAAATACCTTGGTAATATTAACTAGAACTGTGCTTTGTGGCCTTTTATAACTGTGTAAGCGTATCCCTACCAATCCAATTACTGACTGTTCATAAACTTCTGCGCAAAGCTACACAAAAGGCTATTTACACATATCCGTTCCTAGTTTTGACTGTTTGTTTGTTATGAATTTTGCGCAAAGCTACACGAGGCCTATCTGTACTAGCCGTCCATAATTTAGCAGTGTAAGACTAGAGGGGAGGCAGCTAGTCATCACCACCAATTCTTTTACCAACGAATAGTGTGATTGACCGTCACTTATAACACCCCCACGGCTGAAAGGGCGAGCATGTTTGGTGTGACGGAGATTCGAACCCGCGACCCTCAGATTGCGAGTCGAGCGCCCTAACCACCTGGTTTTGAATTGACAGACTAAAGCGAAGGTAGCTAGTCAACAGCACCCACTGCCAACTCTTATCATCTTACTCGTAAAGCAGATACATAGCCCCAAAGAACGCAGCGCAGTTTTGTGACAACGAAGACTAACTACTAACCATGACTCCTCAAACTCACATTTCCTGCTGCAGTGTTACCGGTCTTTATTATTAAACGAAGTTTTTTGTTGCGAAATTTTTGCGCAAAGCTACGTAGAGGCTACCTGCACATAGCCCCCCCCCCCTATTTTTAGCGTGATCTACTATAGCAACCTTTGGCAAAATATTGGGATTTGATCGTCACTCTTATAAAGCACCCATGGTCCCAAAATGCGGCGAGCATTTCTACGACAACAGCATTGGTACATTGAATCTTTGGGTTCACATACTGGCACGTTAAACACCCGGCTATAAAAATTATATTGATCGAATTTGAGCTTATCTCTCTATCAGTTTTGTTCGCAAGGGGCGGATGTCAACTTTGAAAATAATTTGGAGCCGATATAATAATTTAACCTTAAACAATCTTCACTTCAAATTTATGCACAGAACCTTATTTTATCTTTGCATACGTTTCCGTTTCGCAGGTTAAGGTGATGCATTGTAACCCAAAAGACAACCATTTTGTCCTATTGGTATACTTCTTTTCTTTCAGCTGAATTGAAAGTCATCAACTATTTTCTTAGTTCCAAAAGTCACAAGACTGCGTAGATGTCTTTACAAACAATTTAAGGTTCAACATAAAAGTATCACGTAAATGCTCCGTACAAATATACACTGCCAAAATTGCTTACTTTGATTACACAACGTTTTTAGAAGTGCGAGTTATTTTTTCTAAAACATAAATTATAAATAGGGGCGTTTCGGGAGTGGAGCAAAAACTCATTTGCCCCCCCCCCTCCCCCGCCACACACACACTTTCTGGTGCCATTGATTATAGATTGGAAGTCACACATGACTCAATTCTTAAAATAAAAACACGGAAAACATTTGCATTGAGAAAAAATATTTATTTGATTATTGATGCAAAATCATCCTCTTTCCGGAGTGAAAACATACAAAAAATATCCTTTAAAATCCACGTCACAGTTTATTACACAATGCCTTTGATATCCACAAAAATAAATAATTATAAACTAACAAGTGACGCTGTTATTAAAAATTTGGTGGCGATGATAAAAAATCAAAATTCGACATTTGTATTGCGTCTATAATTCTTTAAAAGATAAGAGTAGAAATTGACAAAGCCCGTAAACATGCACTCTTTTCTTCTGTTTTATTCGCTAAGTAAAACATGTTCGTATTCAGTATTAAATCTTTTCTTGTGTTTTCTTCGCTAAGTAAAACATGTACGTATTCAGTATTAAATCTTTTCTTCTGTTTTATTCGCTAAGTAAAACATGTAAAGAAAAGATTTAATACTGAATACGAACATGTTTTACTTAGCGAATAAAACAGAAGAAAAGATTTAATACTGAATACGCTCCTTTACCTAAGAAAACCCGTGAAGGTTTATGTGTTAACTCCAGACCGTTGGTTTACACTTATAAAGTCCGTCGAAAAGTCGCTCCAAGTTAACCACTCCATAAGCATTAGACTTCAGAGTTTTATCTACTGTTGCTTTCAGTCTTCGATATAGGGATTCGCCCTCAGGAGGAAAACGAGGAACTAAAAAAATATCAGAATGTATATCAAAAATTCGTAATCTGTAGAAAACAGTACCTATGAAATAACAATAAAGTTCAAAAAGTAAGAGTTTAGCCAAAATATGAAAAAATTGCTATTTTCCAACAACAGCGAATAAATCCAAGTTTCCTCTCGGATCTCTGTAACCGTTATTTTATTCAATGTGTAATACGTTGATTACTTTCTGTAACCGTTATTTTAGGCAATGTGTAATACGTTGGTTACTTTCTGTAACCGTTATTTTAGTCAATGTGTAATACGTTGATTACTTTCTGTAACCGTTATTTTAGGCAATGTGTAATACGTTGGTTACTTTCTGTAACCGTTATTTTAGGCAATGTGTAATACGTTGGTTACTTTCTGTAACCGTTATTTTAGGCAATATCAATATGTAATACGTTGATTAATCTCTGTAACCGTTATTTTAGGCAATGTGTAATACGTTGATTACTTTCTGTAACCGTTATTTTAGGCAATGTGTAATACGTTGGTTACTTTCTGTAACCGTTATTTTAGTCAATGTCAATGTGTAATACGTTGGTTACTTTCTGTAACCGTTATTTTAGGCAATGTGTAATACGTTGGTTACTTTCTGTAACCGTTATTTTAGTCAATGTGTAATACGTTGATTACTTTCTGTAACCGTTATTTTAGTCAATGTCAATGTGTAATACGTTGATTAATCTCTGTAACCGTTATTTTAGGCAATGTGTAATACGTTGATTAAAAGATTTTATTATTAACCACGAGATAGTTTAAAATCGTTCTGCTGGTAATTCGTTTTCTGTTTCTATAACTCTTGGTTGTCAAAGGACCTTTGGATTCAGTTTTTATTTCACATGGCATATACAAAGTAACTCGGGTCACACGTGTGACTGTAATGAAATTGAACGGTCATTGGGAAGAGATAAAGGTCATAGTTTTGTCTCTAAGCATTGTTAATACAAATTTATAAACAAGTTATACCTGAATCGCCAAGCTTGGAATGTACACGAAAGTTCCAACACGTTCTAATTTCAGTTTGTTGAATGTGGAAAAAAAAACTTAAACGAAAGATGATTAGCACTGTAATTACTGTCCCCGCACATCATGAGTACAAGTTACAGTTGTATCCTAGAACATAGGCCTGCCTCTCGCTACAAAAACATTCAATTATAGCTTACTACAAAGGACGTATAGCTCTGCTTTTCTGCCAATTCAACACCACTACAGAATAAAAATATTAATTTTACCTGGTGTGGTTTGCTGAAGAAGGGATGCTAATACCACGCCTCTCTGCTCGTAATTATACCCTGCTATTCGTTTTAACGTCCTAAGTCTTTCCGTTTCCCGGTTCTGTTTAAAAAATCTATTCATAAGTACTTCACTGTGAGAATGTTAACACAGTGAGACACCATTTCTTCCGCTACAGCAGAAAACTGCTATTAAAATAATTACAACAGACCACTGTGCAAATTAGGTGCAGTAGTAAAGTTTTTTTTGTTTTTTTTACTTCTTGTCGTATTAAATACCAATCAGAGAGAGCTTTTAGGGCGCGGCCTAACAAACGCATTGACATGATTCGTTAAAACAATTTTGGTTTCTGCCTACAAATCCATACAAAATTAGATTTTTATGCACGTAACGTACGTTATAGTAAAAGTATTGAAATTAAATTATACCTCTCCGATATGAAGAAATAAACAACAACAACATATTTTGACACGATCTGGAAGCCAATATTAATATTTTATGTGTCCAAAAAAAAATTATCCTCAGTGTGTTAAGCCACATTTACTCCTGTTTAAGTAAAAATGTGTTTCCAAAGTGTTGTTGCCAAGTTTACCTGCGTTTCAGTAACAGTGTATGTCTGTAATGCGTCGTGTTGCCAAGTTTTTACCTGCGTTTTAGTAACAGTGTATGAATATCGTAAAAAGAGTTCTTGATTCATCGGAAGAGGATTACTTGTATTACTTTACACAAATCTAGAAGCTTAACTAGAGTAATATACAAACGATCTTTACAGCTTTTCTTGGAAGGTATTTACTTTTTTATATTTTAGAGATGGAGGTTTATTAACCTCGTCAATAATCTACGGAGGAACAGAGTGCTCTTTTAACGTTATAATGAAGTACCTAAGAAGACCCAAGTTTATAAATCATATTCGTGAAACACGTTGACACACGATAGGGCCACAAAGTGGTAAGTATACGGCATTAACGCTAACATCAGTTGGCGGCAATAAACGGATATTAAACCAACTTATGTCTGCCGCTACAGTAGGATGAAATGAGCATCTGGTGTAGTAAACAGAATTAATTACATGTGTTACAACAATCTTTATAATATTCGAAATAACCATAAAAGACATATGATATTCTGTTCCAGTTTGTTTGTTTGTTTTGGAATTTCGCGCAAAGCTACACGAGGGCTACCTGCGCTAGCCGTCCCTAATTTAGCAGTGAAAGACTAGAGGGAATGCAGCTAGTCATCACCACCCACCGCCAACTCTTGGGCTACTCTTTTACCAACGAATAGTGGGATTGACCGTCACATTATAACGCCCCCACGGCTGAAAGGACGAGCATGTTTGGTGGGACGGGGATGCGAACCCGCGACCCTCAGATTGTGAGTCGAGCGCCTCATCCACCTGGCCATGCCGGGCCCTCTGTTCCAGTTACCCGAACGATGAAACAAATGTAATATACTATAGACATCCAATATATTGGTATAGTTTTATAACACAGTTGTTCCAGCAATTATACAGAAAAAATCAAGTTTTGACTCCCGAGTTTAAACTTATCGAGTTGTTTACTCAGGAAACTTGGCCGAATCTTTACCCCACATCTCTATAAATATGGGTCGCTATGAATTAAATCAGTTTGTGAAAATCCTTTCATAAAATATACAATTCCGAAGACTTATTTTTGAAAGTATTGTAAATGTTACTTTTTTGATTTCAGAGGGCCATATCTTCAATCAACAACAGTTTGAGTATGTTTTTCCCCATGTCAGAACTTCACTTAGATTAACAGTTAATGATTATTACTTATTCCAGAACTGATTACGAAAGCAGCAATATTAACATAGAAGTTTAAAATATCGAATTTGAAAGTTATGTTTGTTAATGACAAATATCAAAGCAGTATTTCGTGCTGAAAAGAGGAAACTTCGGATTTCACGATAGTGTTTAGTTGTAACCTAATTTAATTGTTTCTACAGTGGGGAAAAAAAAACCCACAAAACTTGTGTTTCAATTTTGCGTTCATTCTCGTCTTAAAAAAAAAGAGCACTATGAATATTTTAAAACTATATATCAGGATAAGGTTTGTTTGTTTCTTTTTGAATTTCGCGCAAAGTTACACCAGGGTTATCTGCGCTAGTCGTCTCTAATTCTGCAGTGAAAGACTAGAGGGAAGGCAGCTAGTCATCACCACCCACCGCCAACTTTTGGGCTACTCTTCTACCAACAAATAGTGGGATTGATCATTACATTATATCACCCCCACGGCTGAAAGGGCGATTCGAACCCGCGACCTTTAGACTGCGACTCAAGCGCCCTAACCACCTGGCCATAACAGGATAAGGAAAGAGATGGATCTTCCTGTTATTTTTCTTTAGCAATATGTCATACGTTTCAAAGAATTGTTATTTATTTTCTGTTAGGATAAGCCGCTAGTGATGTAATTAAAAGAAGCTGAAAACATATATTTAGGTACTGTTTAGAACTTTCGTTAAGTGAATGAAGCCCCCATATTTGATTTTAAAGATGATATATATAGGGCGAAAAAAATGCTTCATGCATTTAGATAATAAATAAATATCACATACTGTTCCACGTCAGAAATATTGGTTGCTCTCTTTCAAAAGACCGAAAATTATCCTTTTCAAAAAAGCACGGTTACTTTTACATGTTTTATACAACCAGTTTCAAAAATCGTCCATTTTTAGTTTCAATTAACCGTTAGAAAATAAATGGAAATTTATTTTGAAAGTCTTTATCATAAAACGGAAAAGCACTGAATATTTTAGTTTAATTATCTTTACAATTAAAGACGCCAACAATCCCAGCATGGCCAATTTTCATATCAGTAAAATCGAAAACTCTGTATCACTGCTTGGGACCTGCAAGAAGGTATCCATGTACTAAATCCCATGTAAGTTGGTTGACATACACATAAAGAGTATACGAAAACCCGAAATTGTGCTTTCCTCGCTGAATAACTGAGCAAAAGATAAGAATTTAAAGCTGCCTAATTCTCTGTTTAGTACCTGTAGAAAAGTATCTTTGTACCAAATCCCATGTAAGTTGGTTGACATACACATAAAGAGTACACGAAAACCCGAAATTGTGCTTTCCTCGCTGAATAACTGAGCAAAAGATAAGAATTTAAAGTTGTCTAATTCTCTGTTTGGTACCTGTAGAAAAGTATCTTTGTACTAAATCCCATGTAAATTGGCAGAAATACAGTGAAGTAATTGTCAAAAACACCAAAATTTTGCATTTTGTGGTATCTTGACTCCTTTATAATTACTAGAAACGGGAAAGTCCAACATTTTGTGTGTCAATGTGTGGTACCTATAGAAAAGTATCTTTGTACCAAATTCCACGTAAACTGGTCGAAAAATAGACCAAAACCTCTAAAATTATGGATTTATTTAACCTTCTAACCTCCCAAAATGGGTAATCTCATATTTTTTGTCTGTATATGTATGGGACATGTAAAAAAAGTATCTTTGTACCAAACCCTATGTAAACTGGCCGAAATACGGTGGAGTAATTGTCAAATAACCCTAAAACTATGCATTTTGTGACATATTGACATCTCTTTAACTACTAAAAATGGGCAAGTCCACCTTTTTTTTTAGTGTGTGGGACATGTAAAACAGTATCTTTTTACCCAATTCTATGTAAATTGGTCAAAATACGGCCAAATAATTGCCCCCAAATTATGTTTTTTGTGAGCTCTGAACCTCCATAAAGACTCAAAATGGGAAAATCC